CTCAAGGTTAAGACTGCATTCATCAGCACTACTCAAGGCAGGATCATTCTACACTAGGGAAATATTGCTCACCACAAAGCCAAATTATGTGATTTGGTGAATTTGAAATTTAATTTACTGATTAAGTAGTAAATTAAATGTGAAATTTGCCTTCAGTTTTTACATTTTGTTGCAGTTATGTATGTTGTTAACTTGCCTGAATAGAGAGCAGCCAAGTTAAACACACCTCCAACATCCAATGAATACAGAATCATCAGAGCTACTGAGTCTGACAGTGGAGGATACAGCTGCCGAGGCAGAAGGGACTATTTCTTCTCAGAGTGGAGTGATATCATCACACTGACTGTGTCATGTGAGTTAGCAAGAGCACTACCTGTTGCAGCAACATATGATAAGGATGGCGCCAGTGTCCGGCAGCCTCGCCTCTGTCAGTGCACCCCAGGGCAGCTATGGCTACAATGTAGCTTGCCATCACCAGTGTGTGAATGTGTGTGTGAATGTGTGTGTGAATGCGTGTGTGAATGGGTGGATGACTAAATGTAGTGTAAAGTGCTTTGGGGTCCTTAGGGACTAAATATAGTGCTATACAAATACAGGCCATTTACCATTTAATTCTGTTGTTTTTAGTGTGTATTAAATGGAGATTTCATTTTTGTGCATTTTTGTGGGTGAATTTATGACCAAACCACAATTTCTTCATAATGGAAAAACACGTTAAAAGAGTCTGCATTGATGTAATGGGATACCTCACATTAGTGAAGTTCAGCTTTATCAGTTAACATGAAAAATTTCACTTTTTTAGACACACATTTCACTGTTGTGAAAGTGCCAGGATCAATAACACGTGAAAATTTAGCCCGGGTATGTATGGCACCTCTCTTTATCAGTATAATTTGATACGTTATTCATCTATTAATGATTTTTTAAAGTGCTTATAAAACTTGATTTCGTTTGTTGCAGTCTCTCCCAGCTGTCTTCAAGTCAAGTCAAGTGACTTTTATTGTCTCAGCCATGTACACTTGTACAGTACAGAGTGAAATGAGACTGCATTCCTCCGAGACCCTGCTGCTCAAATATAACGGACAAACACAGAACTATGTAAAGTGCAGTGTAAACAAAAATAAACAAGACAAGACAGTGCAACACTAGACAGAGCAGGATGATACAGACACAAGACAGTGCAATGGAAGAAAGCAAAATGCTGAGTATTGTGCAAAAGTAACTTGGTGTCTGTAGGTGTGTGTGTGTGTGTGAGAAACTGCAGATAAGTGCTTGGTATTGACGCGTATTTAAGTGTGCATGTGTGTGTCAGTCCAATCACTGAGTGTTCAGGAGTCTGATGGCTTGGGGGAAGAAACTGTTCTGTAGTCTGGTAGTGAGGGCCCGGATGTCTTAATGTGAAAAGTACTGTGTACACCCTGTTACTTTGTTACAAAGTACTTTGAGATTACTTTGTATACTCTAAAAGGAAATAAAAGTATAAAGGTGCATTTATTAATCAAGCAGTTTAATATTTTTCTTTAGTGTGTCATCAACGGTTTGTAGCCCTCAGCAATGAGTGTACAGTAGTTATGCCTACAATCACCAATGATGGTTGTGAGAGTAATTATTATTGCTGGTAAACCTTGTACCAAACCTAACATGCAGACAAGTAGCAAAGACAACAAAATGTTCTCAGTGAAGTTTTCAGAGAGATAATAGTGCATTTCAAAGGTTTTGTCTGGCCTTAAAGTTCGATATGTTAAAACCCTTAACTATAACTAACAAAGAAAAAGAGTCCATCGATGAGACTCTCAGCAGCCATAATAATCACATTACTAACTTATAACATTATAACTTGGTGTTAGCTTGATATTTGTTAATAATTTGAAGACACATGAGTCTACAGGAAAAAAATAAAAACTTTTCACAAACTTACTGTCATGGTCCTGGGCCATGTGGGCCCAGTATTCTTAGTTCCTTGTATTTTTGTATTTCGTTCCTTATTTAGGCCATGTTTCCTGAGTTGCCCTGTTGTGTTGTTCCCTAAGTGTTTTCCCTTCATGGCTTTTACCCCCTGTGTGCCCCTCTGTGTATCTGTGAGCCCTCGTCTCTCCTTATGTTTTATTCCATGTTTCCCCTGCCCGTTATGTCTAAGTTCTCCCCGTGCTCTCTCTCCTCCTGTCTGAACCTCTGTGCACTTCCTGTTTACTTTGTGACTCTCACGCCTGTACATGTCATGTTCAGTTCACCCCGCCCTGTCTCGTTATGATTATCAGTGTCACCTGTGTTCCCACTTTCCTCGTTAACCCTCTGTGTATTTCTGTCTGCGTCTCCCTCTGTTCGGCGTCGCGTTCTCCCTCATGTTGTGTGGATCTTCCTGTGTCTTCCTGCGAGTGTTAGTTTACTTTTTCCCAGTTAGTTTTGTATTTCCTGTATTCTGCCGTGCCAGCATTAAAGCTGTGTTCTTTAAGTTTATCCCCGTGTCTGTGAGTCTGCATCTTGGGTCCTTCTCCTGCCTGCCACACAACGAATCATGACACTTACGTCTGCCTGTTCCTCATCTCCCAGCATGCTTAAATTAATTTACAGGGATCACGAATATCTTTTATAAGTTCCAGTAGAGTAACAGCATGCAGGTAGAACAGAGTTGGGTTTTTTTTACTGTTTAGATATTTGTTGGTATTTACTACTTTTTTTCCCCAAAGAGTTTTGCAATAAAGTTCTCAAACTTTTACACGAAAAGCATCCAATTTTGTTTCCTGTAAATTGCATCTATTCAAAACCCTGCAAGAATACCGCAGACCTTGTGTGTTAACGTTAAATACATGGCGTTCCTCTGCTACAACCTGCCCATTACTGGCGTGTGTTGTAACACATGCTACAGAGAATTGTAACAATTAGAAAAAAGAAGCAAAAACTGAATCCACACCAGAGAAAGTACACAAGAAGTGGTTTAGTGGAATAAAGGTTTTTGTGTTTATTTCCCTACGACTGACCATAATCCAAATTCACTCTTTTGTGTGGGTGTGCAAATTAGTTTAACAGAAAAAACTTTCACAACACCGCAAATACTTAATAAATAATTTTTTTATTATTAGTCCCATGCGAAAAAGATAAGTTTCTGTGATGGGGTGTGGTCTGCAGTGTGGCTGCAGGGGATGGGTGGACCAGTGGGTTCAGGCTGTAGTGTCACTGGAGGTCACTGGATCCTATCATTATGATCATGCATCCCCTATTTTTACGGTAGCTGCCAGGGCTGGAAGTGGAGACCGGTAGCTGAGCATGGGTCATACTTGCTACAGTCTCATTTAAAGCTTATATATTATCTGTATCAAAAATACAATAGCAGTGTGCATGTATAGTGCAGCCTTGGTGTGCCCAATGACTGCACAAATTTTACCCAAACTTCCTCCGGCTTTGGGCTGCCAAATGGCTCCATACAGACAAAGGTTTTTATCATCTGAGGTCAGAGTCTTTAGCGTTAGTTTTCATTTCTTTAACAGGTTTCTCTTTCTTTTTCGTCTGATTGCCTTCAGTTTTTCCTAAGACATTCTTTTTGCATTTTTTTCTGTGACTCTGTCAGCCTTTGCAATGATTTGTAGAATTAGCTCAGTGTTATGTGGCAGATCACATGTTCTTTAGTCACTGATTTAACTGACTCGCCCTTCTTTGAGACCTCATCAGATGCTTTTTTGTTTTAAATATCAGCAGGCACACCTCAATCATTCTTTCTTTTCCACTTTCTAGGTATGCTGTAAAAGTATAAGTATATGCAAAATTAATAAACTATTCATACTTTGGGGAAGGGGGTGTTGGAACACTTTTATAACATACGTTAGAACCCACCCCACCCTTGTCAGTCATTGTTTAACTAAATGTATTTGCGTAGTGCATTAAAATAAGCAGGGGGAAAAAGCATCACAGTTTAATGTAAGTCATTTTATCTGTAGCTGTTTAATTACTTAACAAGGTTTAGTGCTGGTCAAAAAAAAAAAAACTTTCGTAATGCAAATTATCATCGGTGTATTTGTATTGTTTAGTTTCACTATATTTGTATGACAGGTCATTTGATAAAAACTGCTTGATAAGTTTGTGCAGCACCAGGACAGTATAAACATGTCACAGTACGCTGTGGCCAGATCTTGTTAAGGTGTGTTAGTTCTGTTGAAAAAGGGAAGGAAGCAGAAAGAAGAAGTGTTAAAAACTCTTTTTTCCTTCACAGCTCTTTGGTATCTGCTGTGCTGCTGCTTCACTCTCTCTCTTTACAGAAAGTTGTAGAAGTTTTCAGACGTGTCACTGCTGGATGTGAGGATGGGAGCCACTTTGCTCTGTGAGCTGGGCCTATTCTGTGAGTACATCACTGACTCCTATTGTTTGATTCATACTGATCCATAAACATGTTTTAGTAAGAAGAACAGAGCATCAGTCATTTGTACCATTGCAGGTCATGTGATCAGAGGACTCTCATGTTTGTTACCAACATGGTTGTTTGTAGACTGGATTAGATTTTAGTGCACTGACTCAGATCAGAGTGGAGCTGGTTTAGTTTATCTAAGAAAGGTTTGTTTCTCCATCAGTGGTAATTTGATGCATTTAAAATCATAATATAAAATGTAATCAATCATAGTAGACACTAGTAAAACCCCAAGTGTGCCATACTAGATTATTTGAACCAATGTCTGAAGTTTCTGTCTTTATTGTAGTGCTCTGTACGCTCCTCTGCACTGGACACACTCAAGGTGACTGAACAGTTGTTTTATTTTATTTATGATTTTTTTATCTCCACATACTGCATCACTCTTTAGCATTTTATCTTTCTGTAATTCTGTATTTATTTATTTAGAACTGACATTTTAACTAAAAAAACATTTTATGAACACAAACACAGATTGTTTCATGCATAAAAGTGTTTCAGATTTCTAATGGTGTGATTGTGTTGGATTCTAGCTGCTGTGCTAACTATTGAACCCAACTGGTCCAGTTTTGTTATTCAAGAGTTTGTTACCTTCATATGTGACATGAATGAAGGTGAAGACGCTGACTGGGAATACAAAATCAACAAGGATGGGCGAGAATTTATCCCCTACAACACACACAAAGACTATACATTAGAAATTAGCTCTAAGGGTGACAGTGGTGAATATCAGTGCTCTGGTCGCAAAAAGAGCTCACATAAAACAAAGAACAGTAATACTGTCTCTATAACTGCATTAGGTAAGTCCTCTGTGAACAATAGCATGAATTGTTCTGTTCAATTGTTCTCATCTGAATAATAATGTAGATTTAATTAATGTTGCTACTGAAACTTTTTTCCTGATGCATGAAATGTGAAGCTTCAAACAGGACCACCGTATTTACCGGTTATTTTGCCCATGCAATGATAACATAATGCTAAATACTCCCTCACTGTTTAATCCATCATCACTAGATGTACCATTGTGGGTACAAATAATGGAATCTTCACGAATCAGTGTATCATTCAGCATTAGATTATAGTGGGACTTCTTCGGGCCAGAAAATAGACAAACAGTTATACTGATCTTATTAAGAGATCTGGAACTTGAAATGCAGAACATTAAAACATAGTTTAAATCTAGATATTTTTTTTTATTTTTTTATTTTTTTAATGGATCAAAATGCATATTTCCTTCCCTTCTTTTTGATAACAGCATATAGACCCAGGGCCACACTGACAGCAGGAACAACAATCATACCAGTAGGGGGCAGTGTGACACTGACCTGCTCTGTGCAGAGCTCTGATGGATGGAAATATGAGTGGTTCAGACGAACCCAAACAACCTCTGAAGTTCAAATCAGAGATCAACAAAACAGAGATATCAGAGTATCTCAAGGAGGAATCTACCGCTGCAGAGGAACAAGAGGAAACCCAGTTTACTACACTTATAGAAGTGATAATGTCACCATTGAGAAAACCAGTGAGTTCAGTCATTTAGTTTGAAATATACATTCACTCATGATTATCAAACATACAATGTGAAGTTTTCTGTGTTGATTTCATGTTTCTGTTTGTATCTCAACTGTTAATATGTGTAAACAGTTTCCAATAAAGTTGTTGTAAAACAACAACCCAACTGGCCTCAGATATTCAGAGGTGAGACGATCACTCTGACATGTGAGGTGCAGGAAGGAGGTGAAACCACTGAGTGGGAGTATGAATGGAGACGACCCAGGACACCCACACAGTGGACACACAATAATGATGTGACATTCAGAGTTTCTGAGTCCAGCAGTGGAGACTACATGTGTAAGAGTCGACGCAGAGATGACTCATATTCTTCAACAGAGTGGAGTGAAGCCTTCACATTGTCAGCATCAAGTAAGTTTGTGTGTGTATATACAATATTATTATTATTATTATTGTAGTATTTTAAGGCAATTGGATTTAGTGAGTTGAACCACCTAACTATATAAGCTAAAATATTTTATATTTGGAAGTATTGAAAGTCATGATTTTCTTCTGAAAACCTTCCAGTATTCATTATTGACAAAGCTTCACTCATTTAAATTTCAATACTCCCATCCATCCATCTTCTTCCGGCCCTGGATAAATGGAAGAAGATGGATGGATGGGAGTATTGAAATTTAAATAAGTGAAGTTTTGTCAATAATGAATACTGGAAGGTTTATCCAGAAGGAAAACCACGACTTGTATTTTTGAAAAAGGGTCCAAAGCTGGGCCCAACTCAATCCAACCGTAACATAAGATCTAAAAGCCTAAAAAGAACAAAGTGTTGCACTTTGCAGAGAATTTAAAGACATAAAAATACTTAATTAAATATCATAAAGAAAATCATAAAGAAACCATAACGTCATAAATTGCTGTTAATGTGTTTTTGTTTCTACTGGATGAAACATCATGTGCGTCTTCTTCTTCTGTATTAATACATATGCTATAATTATTGAATTATGTGGCTACTTACTAGATAATAAAAAAGACAGAAATGATGAAAGCCTGAGTTGACGTAAAGCCATCATTGTTAAAGCTGCTCGGAACCTTTAACTGTGTGGTCACAGGAAATGGAAGTAATACTGCTAGAGTATCATGCACTGAAGAAAAGGTCAAGGTCTAATTTAAAGGCAGATAATAGCCTTGCATGCCTCAGGTAGCACAGACCAGGGCAGTGTGATCCTGACCTGTAAATTGTGATGTTGAATAATATGTCTTTTTTTCCTGCCTTTGTTCTACATACAACAGCAGTTAAACCAAAGGCCCAACTGACTACTAACAGCAGAGACGTTCCAGTAGCAGGCAAAGTGACTCTGAACTGCTCAGTGAACCTGTCATCTGAATGGAAATACTTCTGGTACAGAGGTAATAAATCCTCTAAACCCCTGACTACACAAGATGCTGCTCCTTCAGACGGACAAATCAGTGTCTCACAGGAAGGACTCTACAGGTGCAGAGCAGGAAGGGGAAACCCAGTTTACTACACAGAGTACAGTGATCCAGTCAGCATTGATAAAAACAGTGAGTTTGACTGAAAGTTAATGAGTATACAACCTTCAAAAGATTGTTGTGAGCCTTTCAATTTGACAATATTCAATATGATATTTGTATAATATTTAAAGTTTGAATAGCTCTTGTTTACCACTGGGTCATTGTTACAAATTGACTTTAGCTGCGTAGAAATACCATAGTTTTTGAAAACATCAACATTATTTAAAGGTTAAAAGGTTCAGTACTACAGAGCCATCTTTAAAGTATAACTATGCAATAATATATATTTTTTCCTCTAAGGCTAATTTTTAGTGCATGTAATTTTTCTAATTGTTGACAGAAGTTACACCATCACATCGACATATTGTGGTTTAAGTAAGATGTTTTTGGTCAGTGGAGACCTAACAGCACAAAAGCACAGCTCCATCCTGTATTGTATTAACAGTCCAGGATACTGGTGGTTGTGTAATAGTGCGAGAGATATTCTTAGTACACTTTTGTCCCCTTTGTACTAAGTGAGCATTGTCTAAATACCACAGAATACTACTGCAGAAAACAGCACTAAGTATTGTTTTTGACCATGTCCATCCACCTTTATGACCATAGTGTACCCATCTTCTAATTAATGCTTCCAGCAGGTTAACGTGCCGTGTCACAAAACTAAAGTCATTACAAACTGGTTTTTCGAACATGACAATGAGTTCTCTGTGTACTCACAGCCACCAGATCTCAATCCAGTGGGGCACCTTATGGATATGGTGGAACAGGAGATTTACATCATGCATGTGAAAATAACAAATCTGCAGCATCTACCCCCCCCCCCCCCCCCCCCCCTCCCACACACACACACACACACACACACACAAAGTAAAGGAGAGGAAATGATGATTCCTGCCATGCAGTGACATAATTATATGAAGATTTCCATAGGTGTCAATATACAGGACAAGAATGTTGGGTTCTAGCATATGTTTGTAACCTTCAGGTTTATACAGAAATACTGTAATTGGGATTATTTGTGTTGTTCTTGTGCCATTAAAGAACCCTAAATCATTTTGGAGAATCTTTATACATAAATCTAATTAGAACCTAACATTTATTGCAGCAGAGCCTGGGCCTGAAAACTATTAGTTTCTCACTCCTTTGATTGTTGGACTTGTTTGTGGAATTTTACTGATTATTCTTCTTCTGCTGTTGTGTCGCTTCAAACTGTCAAAGGGTGAGGCCATTTCCATCTTGTTTTTGCCTTATTATGTGATCTAAGTATTCATGCATCTAGTCTGAAGTAGATGTACTGTCATTGCACCAGAGCAGTTTGAAATTATTTTCTTTTTCGTTTTCTTACAGATTCATGCTTTAAGAGGTTGGTTCAACCCTTCCCACCCCTTTTTCAACCTTCTGGAATTGTTACATTTACAAATTTATGTTATATTTTTATTCCTCCAGGCCTCAGATCAAAAATCAGCACTCTGCTACAAACCACATAACCAAGCAAGATGAAACTCAACACATTTCTCCTGTTCAAGGTCAGCCTTCACCCTGCATTGTTTTCTTGACAAATTGTAAACTCTGAGCTTAATACAATAAGTCCTGATTAGATGTATTAGAAGATGCTCAAATTGCTATATATGACTATTTATTTTGTATTATTTATTTAACCATTGGCTTGATTTTACTCTGTATGTGATTCTTTTTTCTACAAATCAAATAAAGACATCAATGACACAGAAAAAGGCACAGTATGTACCATGGAAAATAAAAATGAGTAGGACTTTTAATAATCTTTTTTTTTTTTTTTTGTGTCCTGTTTGGATCTTTAGCCATCAGACTTGTTGTCTTGAGGCCAAGAAAGATGCCAAGCGGATTTATTTTACCAAGTGGATCATCATGGCCTTGCCATATTGGTCCATTTGATTGACCTTTATTATGATTATGAATTCATTTTATTTTCAGTTGCTACAAACGGGACAGACATGACTGTGGGATAGGACAGGGGGAAAGAATAAAAGAAAGAGAGGGAGAGAAAGAAAACCAAAGGGGAGAAGAGACGGTGAGAAGGGGGGGAAGAAAGCAAACAAACAAACAAACAAAACACCTGGATCACCTGTATGGAGAAAAAAAAAAGAAGAGAAAGCAAACAAAAAAAAGAGCAACATAATAAAAAAACAGCACCATCACAATAAACTAGCTAGCAGTAGATAACAGTAGATACTAAATAATAAACGATATTGTGCAGCACGCAAGATAGACAGCGCACAATGTGCTTTGAGGCAGCAGCCAAGAAAAGTGTAGTCCGCGTCTGTGAACACCCGTGTGTACACCTGTGTGCATACCTGTGTGAATCAGCATGCTTGCATTCCGAAGGTTTCTCCATGTAAGGATCTGCTAGGGAGTGTGGGGAGCCATAGCCCCGTCCACCAGGGTATGAAGCAGGTATGGAGGAGATCCAGGCCCCAGATATCCAGAGGCCCCAGAGTACAAGGACCCGAGGAGGACCACCAAAGGGGGGAGAACCGTGCCACCCTCCTGGGAAGAGCTGAGTAGAGCCCCAAAGGAGAGGTCACCCAGCAGCTACGGAGCAGAGGCCAGAGGGGTTACAGTGGCGTGCCCGCGGGCTCTGCCGGCAGCCAGCTGTGCCAGAGAGGACCGAGCTTCAGGCCCAGAGGCCAGAGGCCTAAAGGCACCCCACCCCCGGAAGGAGCCGAGCCGGGCGACAGGCGCCAGGCCCCGCCAATCAGCCACCAGGAGTGAGCCGGTACATACATGAGCGCCCAGCCCCAGACGACAAGGACCACCAACACACCAACGTCTGAGGGCATCAGCCACCGGCAGGGAGTGTGGTGAGGGGAGATAGGCCTCCGTACTTTAGAGAGCCTGAGATGTACCCAGAGAGGTTGGGTTTAAGACCCAACCTGACATATAGACACAGACGAACAGGCACATGCAGACACAAACGTGCATTCCCACCCCCATATGCACAACCAAATACTCGGCACTCACCCAACGTGTAGACAGACACAAATAGACACTGCACAGACAGTCGCACTCCCCAAACATACTCTATATCCCAGGTCCAGGTACCCCCGCCCGGACCTTTAATAATCTATTAATTAATGGATAACTGTTTCACTATTTCAGTTGAATCAGAGGATGTCACATATTCTTTGGTGGAGCTTAAAAACACCACTCCAAGGAGTAAGTACTTTATGTTGGAAACATTTAGGGGTTTAGATGTTTTTAAAGCGAGCAATATTTAAAGAAAATAAAGAAAATTATTCTGGAGTCAAACCGGGAAAATAACTTGGTGACTGTACAGCAGTAAAATAGCACATTGAGATTTTTCACTGTAATTATGTACTTTTAGACACATTAGAATGTATTGTAAACAAAATAAATATATCTGCAAGTTACCATTAATTACTGAGGAATTTTTTGGCTTTTTCTCCAGCTCAATAAAAAGTTCTGTATAAACAAAATCAAGGGGAATGATGACAAAAGAGCAACTAAACCCTAACCAATTTAATCCAGAATATCCCCCAAACCTAAAAATACCCCAAATTAAGTGGCAGTGGTAAACTTTTAAAACTATCAGTCCCTTTTTTTTCTTTTCATGTTTGTAATATAGTGTGCACTTTGGGGAGAGGGACTCTGGATTGGTGAACTGGGGTGGTGGTTCCCCTCTTCAATAATAGGGACTGAAGCATTTCAGTGGATCATGCTCCTCAGTTTCCACTATAAGTCTACAGGGAGTGCAGAATTATTAGGCAAGTTGTATTTTTGAGGAATAATGTTATTATTGAACAACAACCATGTTCTCAATGAACCCAAAAAACTCATAGTTTTAGTTTGTTTTTACTTTTAGCTATTTTAGGGGGATA